GCGTGTTATTTGCTGTAGGCGTTTTCTTCAGCTCCAAGAAGCATGATGCACGCACCAAGATTCGTGTATCTCCGCCAAATAATTCAATATTGCTCTACTTATGTGGACCATTTTTGGTTTCGGTTTCACGGCGCCGAGTTGAACAGTGACGTCGATACATAGGTGACGTGGCCACGTGATCACTCAAGGCTGTGACGCGCGTCGTGCTGAATTTCGTCTGCTCTCACATACAGGTGCCACACAAGCGCCAGCAAAACAGAACGCCTTGGCAGGTTTCGATGCGTAGTGATCGAAACCTGCGATCGAAACTTGCGAAGAAGCGATCGAAACTCTGCGAGTAATACAGCAAGCGATGCATTGCTGGTACGTTGGGTACGCTCGTTTCGGAGATGGGGGAGGTCACTCACGTCACTACAGACCTGGTGTGACGTCACGACAACTGCTGTTGCTTCACGTATTCTAAAACGTCAGTGCTGCTGCGCAAGCGATGGGCCTAGTTCACGAGAACGAGCATTCAGCTACACTTTAAGAAGTGAATTAAAATATATTGTACGTGTTTGTAAGGTCCGACGCTTCGTGTGGAGAGTCTTTGTATACAGAGGAAATCCACAACAAGCTTGGGATAGCCTCAAAACTTGGTGGCACCACCCCTTTAAAAGTCGGGCGACGCTATAGCGCACTCGCGATCTGCTTGCTGGGCTGCCACGAGCTGCCTACATTGCGGCGAACGATATTGTTCCATGATCAACTACGCGTGCAATCTAGCTATTTCCGCTTTCTTCAGCTCGGCACTGAAATCGAACGGTTTGCAGCAGCAGAAACAGGTAGAAAACGAAGGCTCCGCACTATGCAGCACAGGACGTCACAGAAGCCATAAACAAAATGGCGGTCACCAGCGGCAGCCGGGGTTTGTAGCCATCTACTTCTACGGCTTATTTTGTACTGAAATATCTACAGGCACATCACACCCGACACTTATATTTGTCACGGAAAACCCATGTTCGTTGACCATGTCACGGCTTCTTCAATCAGTCGAAGCGCCATATCAGTATAACTATCGGGGTTTGTAAGCATGCATGTTGCTTGTCCTTGACAACGTTTGTTTCATTGTATCCCGCCAATATCCAAAGCTGCTTAACAGCGCATTTTATCTGAGTATACTGAAGTCCAGAGATTCTAGGGACCTTAGAGTACATAATTGCTGGTGGTTGACTTATCGCACCCTCTTGACTCACAAGGCTATGCCGACGGCATTTTCTTATCTCTTGCGGAACTGCTGGAAACTTCCTGGTTCGTAGGCTGTTCGGACCCTTATCAGAAGTGCCCGCTGGCTGGGCCGTAATTGGCGAGCCTGAAAGCTGCCAGCAATTGATAGGCAAACGAACAATGTTCAGTAACCGGGACTAAGTAAACGGGAGTATACAAGAAATCATCACAAGAGGACAGAAAAAAGCCTCAGTTCACTCCTCCGCGAAGCGCAGATTACAAAGTGCGGATACGCATGTGGGCTAAAGAATAAAGAAATGAAAAGAGTAGCGTGTGCGGTATGGCGCTTCAATGTGTGACATCAACAGGCGCGTATATAGTGCGGAGGGGGCAGAGAAGAAACTGCCAACAGGAATAGAACTGGCCGTTCTGCAGAAATTCGAGAGGATCAGGGCCGCAACTAGGGGGGAATTTAGGGGGTCAAGACACCTCCCGAAATCTTTTCATGCTCTAAATTTTGGAGTGAAACCAAAGTATGCACACGCCTTCACATCGACCACCACTAGCCAAAGTTGGTCGTTTACACGTAAACGAACCCCGAATAAATTTTTTTTGGCACGGCCTTGGTAAAAATTTTCCTCCGGAAAAAATATATTTTCCTCATAAAACTTTGTGCATTTCCCCCCTTCACGTTCCAACGAGGGGGGACTAGCCCGACAACAGCTGTTGTACAATTACTGCCTTTCACATCTCAGCGAAATTATAAAACCGCGGTATTAATAAATTCAAGCATTAACACCAACTTTCCACCACATGTGAGTACGTTTTCTGCACGTCCCCGCAGCACAATGCATGCAGGCAATGGCAACATTAACCTTCCCAATGGTAGAAATGTTACGTATATGGCGAACGGTTAATTCAGTTCACCGGTGCCGAAATCCGGAACACAATTGCAAATGAAGTTCAACTTGCCCGCAAATTTAATTCGACTTGCAAAATACACTTTGTCAATCAGTCGTGTTCTTGACCACAGTGAAGATCACATCCATAATCTATTATTTCTCACCTGGTACATATTTCTCCCTGTCTTGTTTTTTTTTTTTCTTGGTTCTGATTCAAGTACGACTGTTATTTATTGTTCAACGCATCCTTAAGCCAAAATTCTGTGCATTCTTTTCGGGTGCCCCACCTTTTGTACTTTTTACACAATGTATGCCACTAGTTCTTTTTTATTACTTTTGTACTTAGGACTTAGCAGCCATTTCGTATTCATTGTGATGTGAGTTTCATTATATATAATGTACCTTTGAAGCTATTCAATCAGTAAACTTGTATAAAGATTCATAATCATATCATGTGGTCCTTTGCTCCAGACATATAAAAAATATTCATGTATTAGATTGGAGCTCTAACTAACCACACAGGTCTAAATATTCTGTAACCGCTTTTGTATCCAGTTCACTGAATAAACACTCATTGATTGATTGAATTAAGAAGTGTGGCAGCTTGGGCTCGTTCGTATGACATTACAATAGTTATAGCGCGAGAGCAGAACGACGACAACGAGACTTGTGTCGTTCTGTTCTCGCGCTATAACTATCGTCATGTTGTTCAATGTTCACTGCGCGTAATAAATTTCGCCGAGTCCCGTGGGATAAGGAAAGGCAGGGGCAAGCGCTGAATGGAAAACAAGTACGTCCTCCTACAGTTCGAGATATATTCGTTCCCGCGTGCGCCTGCGCCGCTGCACGTTTGCGAATTTTCCATTACTGAACAGCACTAGCGCTGAAAGTTGACGCAAACGAGCCGCGTGAAATGTTCAACATCTGGGCCTAAATGAACGAAAACACGCCAGCACGAGGCGTAAATTAACGGCCGTCTGCGCAGTACACTGCATTGCGACGACAGTGCTCACGTAAGCATTTGATCGCTCATCGACATTTCGACCTGCGATACTCCACGGTTTTGCTCGTCTCTTGGCAACCGCAAGATTTTCATTTGTGGACACTGCGCTGCTTCTAGCAGGTTACAACCACTTCTCATTAGAACCATTAATAAAGCCCACATTTCATGCGTGGCATCGCTGTGCTTACAATATCCACCTGACGCTAACCAAATTCCAACAACGGCATCAATTATTGAAAGCTCAATGGCATAGTCTCGGGGACGTCGATCAAATAAACCGGCATCGAGAAACAAGTTGCATTAGTTGCGTGCAGGATGCCCGTAGTTATGACGGTAAACAGCTAACAAAACCTGGGACGCAGAGCAGAACAGGTGCATTTTGTATTTCCTTGGTCAATCTGCACAGCATTCTGCGGTTCTCGCGTTAGAAAATTTTGGAAACAGGGCACCCAAAATTATGAGACACCATCGGCAAGGCGCACAAAAGCTCACAAAAAAGCGTCACGCAGAAACTTCAGAATGCCGCCCGCATTCTCGGCTAACATTATGCAAAAGAAGACCGACACGTTGGTGACACACAAGATACAATGATAAAAGCTATTTTTTTATATGCTCACTGTCCTAAAATTCCAACACGATGTGAAATCAAAGCAGCAAACCCATGTTCGGCACTGCACATCTCACGTAGGCGAATTCCCGACTTTTCATGCTAAGTTTAAAACGAACACAAATGCCCCCGAAAGCTTCTGATGACAGACATACACGTACGAGCCTATGATTCAGTCACCACCTGGACGCACCGTAAGCCGCGTGGTCAGACTGTCGTCCAGAAAGTGACATACCGAAATCAATAAATCGGGTTCCGAAATAAGCAATACCCGTGTCACACGGGTATTTACAATCGCGATAAGTGTCGATACAGATTAACCACGATCTGGATTAGGTGCTGCTACACGGCCACTTTTAACCATGATCAGGCGCGATCGGGATCAAGACTATCGCGACCCGCGTATAGCGATCTGGCTGAGAGATTGCGATTTCGCTGTCGTATGCACCCCCTGGCCGAGCTGGTTGAAAGCACAATAAACAAGAAAATCGAGCATAGTTCAACGAAAGCCAATTAAAACAGTTAGATGTTTATAAAAAAAAGCAGAATATAAACTGTTTCAACCTGAGCACTATCCTAAATGTCGCATACTTTAAGATTCGTATCGAGCGCATGTAGTTAATGGGAGAAGCAGACGATGAGCAAAGGACTGTTGTCTTCCGCACTTACTTCAACTCTCGCACCGTCAGAGCAGTTGGAGCACCTCGAAGCAAACCTATTTTGAGCGTCGCCAGCATGTCGACTTTGTCGCAACATACGCGCCCTTCGTGGTCGAAAGAAGTAATTCACAGTAATTGACCGCTGGCATGAGCGACTGGAAGACTCGAAGCACAAGAAGTCAAACTCTGGCGTGTATACGAAGATTGCCGTTTCGCTGCGACTGGACGGCTACGCGCAGGTGGCATCATGAATAAAAGTGAAGATTAAGATTCTCGCACAGTTAAGTGCAAAGAAAACTCTACCGAGTGATGGATTTATGAAATTAATTTTGTAGTAGCACAAAGTTTTTGACGTTCGAGCGGTTCTTTCGCGATTGACATATTCCGGATAAATGGCTCTATTGAAATATCGCACGCTGAGTTTTGTCAATTGACATGTTCTACGGCACGCAAATGCCACCTCATGCATTTCATCTGACCGAAGCTCGAACCGGATTATCTTGGGCCGTGTAGCAGCGGTCATAAAGTTTATCGCGATCAAGAAAACCGATCCGGATCACCCTAATCACGATTAAAGGTGCCCGTGTGACACCGGTGTAAATAGGGAAGGCATGCATACGAACCGAATACACGTGGTGTCTCACCCGGGATATCCTGCGCAGAGCGAAGCAGGGAGTCGCTCGGTCAGTCTACTCGCCTCGGCTGGTCAGCGTCGAAGCCTCTGTCAATCTGGTCGGCATCGTACTGCGTTGTGATCCGGAGGAGGCATAGCCACACACACACTGCCTGCAGAAAAGAGATGGCGAAAGGGGCTGCTTTTTGTCAACTGAAGTTTGGAAGGCCGTAAAGCTCCAAGATAAGCTATCCCTTGCCCCGGCTTTTTGTCACTCAGCTCTGAACAAACAATCTCCCCAACCACAACCTCCTGCACGCTTTCACCACCGGGTTGACCCCATCCCAATACCCCCCCTCTCTCTTTCTTTGCTTCTTCCTAGAGCTTAGAAATGAGGTCTCGCGGTTTCCCTTTCCTAAGTAAACAGTGGGGCGTCATGGCACCGAGACGCTCAAAAAACGGCGGCCTTGAAACGAGTATCCCTTCCCGCCATAATCCGCCTTTTGCTTAGCCTGTGCATCGCTCCTACAAAGGAGAGGAATGTGGAATGTGTGACTCGCAATGTGGAAAGAAAGAAGAACAACTCGTTCGGCACCTAATAATCGCTTGGCGTTTCCGTGTGGCGCTCATCAAACGGCCGGCACACACGCTCTTTTGTCGGAGGCAAAGGCTGTGCTGTTTCGCGTGCCCAACGCGCGGTTCAAGACTGCCTAGGAGGCGACAGGTGCACGGCGGGCGCTGCATCTCGTGGCACCGTGCCAGTCAACCCAGCTCCGGAATAGCAGACGGGTTCAACAGACGAAGTTCGCGCTTGCGCTTACTCCTGAAACAGGCTTCGCTTTCCCGGAAGTGGCGGTGAATGCAACGCGCGTTGCAGCGGTGTCGTGGAACCGCATAAATGTATATGCCGCTTCTTGCCAACAGTTTTTTTTTCAAGTTTTCGAACGCTCTAGGCCAATGGTCTAGGCCCCCCACAGCCAGCATGGGCATTGTGATTCTGGCATGTGGAACGTTACCGGTTCGTACGCGCAATATGCGTACTGCTTCAGTGCAAGACAGAGATCTCGCGTAGAAATGTCAGAACGAGACGCAACAGTTACTTACAAGACCAGAGTAGTCATGCTCGGGAGGAGAAATCGAACACAGTTTCAGACAGTGTGAGGAGGTTATCCACAGGCGATTGAATTCAACGCAAACAAAAAAAAATGGAAGGATGAAGCACCACTTTCAATAAGCAGAAACGCCCATAGTACTGACTGTTGGGGTTCTACCCCTTTAGGTATCAAAACAACGACATGATTACGAGAGAAGCCATACTGGAGGGGGGGGGGGGGGGGCTCTTCGCATTTCGCCCCCATCAAAATGCAGTCGCCGTGGCCCAGGAATCGAGCCCACGACTTCGAGCTGAGCAATGCGACACTACCACAGGGTGGGGGGGGGGGGGGTACGCAGAAAAACCCAGTGACCCGGTTTCGGTAAAGACACGGACGGGACAAGTGTAAATATTGTTAGCTGACCCCTACCCGTCAAACTACATAAAGACACCACACTTAAAATGAGATATCACACTAGCGAGCGCCAGGTCGGGCTACTTCACTCTATCTGATAAAAACGTCAATTGGTTTTTTTTTTTCAAACTGAAACTTCTCGTTTGAGATTTAGGCGCTATGGCACTGCAGCAACGCTGAAATCCTCCGTCAACAAGCACCGACATTTCGTCAACAAGAAGGCAAGGTTTTCCAGGAGATAATGCGCATATTCGGCACACCGTCGTGGTCGGGAGACTTACGCACCGACTGCTAGCACCGGGAGGATCAAACTTCGAACATCACGCGAAATTAAAAAGTTACGTTCCAGAGTAGTGCGAGCCAAAACCACGATGCGATCGTGGGGGACACCGAAGCAGGAGTATACTGCAGATTGATTTTGACCACCTGGGGTTCTTCGTAGTACAGTCCTGGTCGAAAATCCTCAGGCCATGCTTCCATAGAAATACATGGGATAGTGGCCCTAGAACTACTTTCGACCCTGTACATCTTGGTCTAGCCTACTCGCTATCTTTTTTTATCTGTATGACACAACCCTAAACCTGCAACAACACCGGTTCCCGACCATTTTCGTCTCCATCGAAAATGCGGCCGCCACGCCCGGGATTCGATATACCCAGCAGTACTCAAACGTATCCTGCACGCTTGTGAAAATGTCCCCGAGCATGCGCAAGAAAAATATATTCTAATCCAATAACATCAACCACGGCAGAACTTGCTCTATTCAAACAATCGTTCCAGCGTTTCTTTTCTTTCCCTTTGAACAATGGTTATGGTGCTCAGCTGCTGACACGGTGGTCGTGAGTTCAATCCCACCCGCGGCGGTCGCATTTTGGTGGAGGCGAAATCGCAGGGCGGATAAACTGCAACGCGTATAAGAACACCACATGGTCGAAGTTTCTGGAGCCCTCCATAGCAGCGTGCTTCATAATCATATAGTGCTTTTGACAGGTAAAAAAAGCACTTATTAATTATGTCTCCTCCCCCATCTGCACCTCAGCTCTAACCAGAGAACACAGACCCGTTTACAGATTCCCCGTTGTCACACGTTTAGGATAACTACGAGACGAGACATTCTCGGCAGTAATTCTTGAAAGCCACTGAAACGATTGTGCTCCTCCACTGTAATGGGCAAGTGCGCATTTAAAGTGAAATTCATAATCTAACTTTAATGGCGGTACTCCAAACTGAGTCCAGCGCGCAGAGAACGCAGTCTCTGTTACTTCGGACTGGAAAATTTTGCGTATGACATACAATAAAAGTGAGTGGTTGTACACCAGGTTAACAAAAAAAAATCATTTTAGAGGCGAAGCTCTTTATGGCGTGGCTTGTGCGTCCCCCGTTGTCGTCGTGCATAACCGCCGGTGGCACATACCCGAGAGAGTGGGTATGTACCACAGGAGATAGACGGGTATGTGCCACAGGGGAAGGAGAGACACGATTACGCGACTACGATCACGATGAAAAATGCGAGATGGCGGTACTTGGAGTGTTTATTAGATGCACGGACGGACAGATGCACGGATGGACAGACAGACAAGCAGACGAACGAATGGAAGGACGCGCGGATGGATGGACAGACACAGGGACGGATGGACGCACGGACGGACAGACGGACGGACGCACGGAAGGATTGACGGACGCTTCACTCCACTCATCATCATTCACTCTGGGGATATGCTGCGATGTTTTGTTGAAATTGAAGCCCCGCGGTGCCGACGCTTCCATTTTGTCCCAGTAAGTTTGCATTGAAATACTAAGCTCATATACCAGCACAACTCCCAGCACGGCCTACCATAAGCTCTGCTTCATATCACACCGTCCGACTCTTGGGGTATTTCTGTACGCTGGTAATAAACCTAACCCTGAGGACGTTTAGTCAGTGTCACTCGCACTTATGACGGCAGACGAGGTACTATCCTGCAGACCCAGACACTGGCCAACGAGCCCCAAGGCATCTGGGTACCGAAGTCGACACCGTCATCATGCAACGTCTGCGAAGCACAAAGAGGTACAAAGGGCTCGGTTATTCTTTTTTTTTTTTTTTGCCCGTAAGAATCATACGAAGGCCACAGAAAATGATGCCGAGCAAAGCATGGGGGAACATCCTCTTGAAACACGAACGTTTCTGATGCACACTAGGAAAATGCAGCTCTACTTTGCGAGTTTATGGGCCGGTACGTCAGGTCATAATGGCACTGTAGTGAGTTATGTCAGCTTGTGGAATTACCCCGCGCGAAACACGAGCCGTATCTCCGAGCAGCAGTTCCCGGGCGAACAAGGAAAGACAACAGAGGACATCGGAAGTGGCGGGCGAGCATGAGAAAAGTGCTCGCACTCGCAGCGCAATGTGCTGACCCCCACAGCGAGCTTCACGGGGTCGCGGCGGCCGGACCGAGATGGGGAGGGGTCAGTGGCGGGGGAATGCATACGGCACACGCGGGGCTCATCTTACGGCAGGCGTGCACTCCCGCAGACGAGCGCCGTCATCTTGCGGCCGAGCACATTAAGCGACAAGAAAACGCGTCGAAACGACGGACACCCATGGCACGAAACAAGATTCGCGTGGCACGAAATGTTCGAGAGCGCCAGCACGGCCGCAGAGAAATGGAGTCACCTCGTGCTGGGAATCGCGCTGTTCTTCCAAGTGGGTGGCTACAGAGAAATGAAAGAGCAGACGGGCATGAACTTCATTTCTGGCCGCCGCGGAATTCTGCTGCTCGTTGTGTCTTTTTGCCTTTTATTTTCGCGCGATGCCGTCTGCGTGTCTTCTTGCAAGCAAAAGCCAACAGCGCGAGAGAATGCAAGAAGGGGAGGGGGGCCCTCGGCTAGCGATGAGTAAGGCTAAAGTAAGACCCCGGGGGGGGGGGAGGGGGGGCATAGCTGCCGGGAAACACTAGGCGGTGCCGCGATAAGGTGCCCCTCGCGGTGAGAGAATGCGAACAGTCGTTTGCCCCCCTCCATACGCCCACCTTCTTTAGAGACGAAGCCGTCTGCTCACCGCAACTTTGACTGCAGACACTCAGAAATCTCTAACGTGATTTTTTTTTCCGCCCACACCGAACGAAGATCCGGTGTCAAAGCTGCAGCGCGGGTGGCTACGGCGGTGCCATTCCACTGGAGCATGTGCGGGCGTCCCAAGCACGGACCTCCACGTACATTTCAGGAATTCAGTTTATTTTCCTTCCATCTTATGCCAGAACTGCTGAAGCTTAATTTTGGGAGCTTTACGAAACCAGCGTCAATGTGAACCTGTAAAATATGTATTCAAGAACAACGACACAGCCTTCTAGCGGCGCGAACTCTAATGGTGTCTTATCAGGCTGCATTGGATACAATTATATTCATATAGGCCACGTGGAAGTCCGAATCACTAGAGCGCAACGAATTTTGAACAAAAGCAGGTAACGCTGCGAACAAATTTCATATGTCGGTTATACATCGTTTATTAAACCTCGTGGGTGGCTGAAAATTTCGTTCAGCCACACTGATAGAGCGCACCTGTACCCACGTAGCGTGTCTGTGCCATGATCAGTCGGTGTCGCCTGCATTCGCGGAAAACGCGGCCGCCAAGCATGGTACAGCCAGGCACAGCTGTCGCGCAGTGCCACTGCGGGCCGGTCAGA